ATTCTTTTGGGCGCACGGGACCGGTCTGCGTAGCCTGGTGGCGGCCGCTTCTGCCGTAGCCAACAGACGCTGTCCAAGAAATTTGGAATAGTTTGAGGGTGCCTTGTAGATCACTCGAAAGGCTCTTTTGGCAACCACGCGATGGTCTGGGTCTATCAGGTGCGCTAGAATGGAACTGTTTATACCCTTTAGTTGGCCCTTTCCTAGCCATGCTGGAATGTGTTCTCGTACTCTTTTGGGCAAATGACGGCTCTTGCAACCAATATATCGTGCCCCATAGGAGCAGGTAAATGCATATATGCTGATAGAGGTATTCTTGGCTGGCAGTTTGTCCTTGATCTCTCCGTATAGGATGGGAGTTGTCGAGAATAGTGCATGGGCTTTGGCTGCTGGGAAGGCGGTTGCTACAGCTTGACTCAGTCGCCTCCTTAGAAGTTCGCTTGGTCCGTCCCCTTCTGCCAACCCGCATAGTTTATTTACTCAATTGCCATATAAATGTAAAGGCCTGACGAGATTTTATCGAAAACAAACTTATGCTCACCAATTCATCTTCTGAAATCTTCAATTGGAATTTTCGCAAATTTAAAAACTAAATTAAAAATAAGCTTAACTAAATAATTTCAACTACACTTAATTAAACCAAATAACCTTAAAACTAAACTAATCTAAAACTTATAAACCTAAATACTAAACTAATAACTAAACTAAATAATAACCTACAACGAAATAAGTAGTTAGTTATATATAGTTACCTGTATTGTTGCTTATAAGGGACCCTTGCCCAAACCAATGCCAACAGACAGAAGTGTAAATCAGGTCTACTCGGCCCACACTCCATCAAAGTCATACCTACTGCAGAAAACTATAGCCTGCAAGCATTCCGAATGGCAGATTGTGAGGGAAACAGGCTTCCCGTTCCCCCCTATATCTCTTTGTTACGCTTCTCTTAAAAAAATAAACAAGGGAGACAAAGGTAAAGTTTCTGTTACTCACCACTGACAAGATATTTCCTTCCACTGTCCACTCGTCGTTCACAACCTTGTCGCCCGTCTCGCGAATCTTAAACACTTTTCCGTCCATTGAGAACAGCAGCTATAAAAAAATATAAGCAGTAGCATTTGAAAATTATAGTGGTTGAATTGCAGTTGGAATCTGCATAGCGCCGTCCACCACCGGCAGCAAGCGGTCACGTGATCGCAGCTCTTGGTCTGCCTCTGGAACAGCCAATCACAGGTACCATAGACTGGTATTGGCCGAGCAGTCGGACAGGCGGCCAGTGACTCACTCTCGCATATCGTTTACGCATTCGCACCCAGAGCACGCTAACAGACAGAAGTGCGCGCAGGGCCCGGGCCTGCCGCGCGTCGGGGCTTTAGACCACCACTGAGTTTATCCATAAAATAAACAGCTCCTACTGGTATTACCCCTTCCCTTGCTGTACGGAACTAGACTGAATTTGTACGTTAAAGTTTCCAGTCTCCTGAAGAATCGCGTTTTTTTTAATGTAGCTGCATACTGCCAAACTGAAATAAATATACTTAAATAAATACTATATACTAAAGTAAACTAACTAAAATAAGCCAAAGTAAGAAAAAAAACTAGCCAAACCAAAAATTTAACGTAACTCAAATCGAAATAAGCTAAAGTAATACCACCAGTGCCGTAATACAGAGTTCTGGGACTAGGGATGTCTAACGTAGGCGACCAACTTAACTTTTACAAAAAAAGAGAACACATAGTACCCGCTAAAAGAAGGCTTAAAATGGAGGCGAATATTCGTATCTCAGGTGTGTGCATACGAGAAGAAGCACATAGCATTTCATAGAGCAAGGCCGCCATACATCAAGGACGTGTCGGAGGCGACCGAGCACATTGCTGCGGGACAAGGCGCCGGAAAAGCACACCTTCCAAAGGCCACAATGCGCAGCCGAGTGATGAAAATGAAGGACCGACTAAACCCCAGTGAGAAGTCGGCCTTAATGTATCATATACTACGACTATACTGCCCTCGAAATTACACAGGATAGACTGGACGCATGCTTGGTTCGCGCATACACGACGGGGTGACGCATACTCAGAAGTGGCTGCCCACACCTACGAGACGGGTCACGAGTTTAACTTTGCAGCCGCGAAGATAATCATCCACGCCGGCAGCACGACAGGCCGAGAATTTATTGAAGCCCGGGGTCCTGGATGAGAACTCAGTCATTCGATTTATCGATCTAGCGCCGGCGTATATGGCCCTGCGCAGGCACATCCGGATTGATGTCCCTGGTGGTTGATTGGCCCCTACCCCTATAATATTTTTTGTATTAATGTGATAAAAGTACGTCTTCTTCCAATCTTCCTCTTGATGAAATTTTTATATGCCGGTCTTAAAGAAGTTTGT